GAGAGAGAGAGAGAGAGAGAGAGAGAGAGAGAGAGAGAGAGAGAGAGATGGTAGGATGGATTTGATGAGGAGAAGCAGAAGGGAAGATGATGAAGTGAAGGGAAGGCACTTGATGATGATCTACCTTGCAGATACATGGAGAGACTAGGAGAGTTAAATAAATGAGACGAAGAAGAGATTGTGGTGACGGCCCTTTACTATCCTTGACCTCGAAGAAATGGGGACAAGACAATAAACAAAGACAACGATAAGACCATGGAGCGGATTATGTACGCTTAAGGGATGAGTCATGAGTCAGTCAAAACCCAGATCAACTCATTTCTTCGATCTCGCAACTGGCACCGGACTTTTTGCCGAGAAACTTTGCGACAATTCGCAATAGCTGGTCCTCGTGGATGGGCTTCGTCACGTAGCCATCCATTCCAGACTCGATGCACTTCTCCCTTGTTCCCTGCACCACACGTTGCGCAAATTTCACACAAAAGAAAGAAAAAAAAAAAAACGTCGATGACGTAAGCGAAATGGTTTTGCGGTGAAATTTGTGCAGAATTTGGACCCCGTTAAAGTCGACATTTTTTTCGGGTAAAAGTTCCGTAAAACCAAATAAGGAACATCCGATTACATAATTTGAATTTTGAACTGTTGGATCTTACGGACCCCAATTCCATTCCAAGGGAAATGTCCACACACACACACACACACACACACACACACATACACACACACACAAACACACAAAATACGCAGTGTCCCGCTTACCAACGAGTCTATGTTTCCATCAAAGCATGACATGGCATTTCTAGGTCAATGAGTTGGGTCCCGCTAAGGTTGCCCTATGGCGATCATATAGCGCACTGGGTTGGTTCACACTACTGCTACCTTTTTTATTGCAAACTTGCAAAGGCTCTATGCGTACACAGCAGCCGCAACTCTCCAACTTACCAGCGATTCTAGGTGCCTCACTCCACTCCACTCCACTCCACTCCACTCCACTCCACTCCACTCTACCTGCATTTGGGTGCTTTCTGGAGTGTTGTGTACACAACACTCCACTAGTCAACGTTGACTAGTCAACACTCCATTAGTACAACGTTGACTACCTTCTTACCCCGAAAAAACGTACGTACGTTCTATTCGAATTACCTCTGGAAATTGAGTCTTAAGAAATCGCTTGTTTTTTTTTCCCGAATAGAACGGAGGTTCGAATATAACGTACGTACGTTGTATTCGAATACAACGTACGTATGTTGTATTCAAATTTTTGGAACTTTGATTTTTCAAAAATAATCAAAAAAATCCGAAAAAAAAAAAGTTATACAACAATGCAATACAAACAACGTTTGCCTGAGGGTCTTATCGAAATTCACGAGACAATTCGAGAAAAAAATAAAAACGAGGATGAAAATGTTTTTTACTGATTTTTTCAGAATTTCGATTTAAAAAAAACTTCACTTAAAAAATCCGAAAAAAAAACGTATGTTGTACAACATTGCAATGCAAACAACTTTTGCCTGAGGGTCTTGGCGAAATTCCCAACCAAATTTGAGATAAAAATAAAAACAATGCCGGTACTACAGACTTCTGAAAAGTTGTACCCTAAAACTCGTTCTATAACGTACGTACGGGGTGGGTGGGGGGGGTGGGGGGGGGGCAAGTGTGTTCTCATGTTGGCCACAACACAACTCCACGAAAAAAAGGCGTAGCGCCTTGTAGAGAGGATAGAGACTAGCAAGATGCTGGTCATTTTTTTAATGTACCAGGAAAAGACAAAGGGGCATCGACCAACTAGCGTCTTCACCCGAATAGAACGCCCAGTAATTATCGCTGTAGCTGGACTGGAAGTTGCCCCAAATACAGCTATAATGACCGGGCGTTCTATTCGGGTGAAGACGGTAGCGTAGCTCAGTTGGTATACCCATCAACAGTTGAACTACAGACCTGATTTTGCATTGCCGATGATTGATAAATAATAAAATATGTCTGAATTTACCTGCGGGCCTGGGGCCTGTCAGGCCAAAGATGAAATCTCAAGGCTGTTTGCCCTTCCAAAAAAAAAAAAAAAAAAGGGTGCATGGCGCCTTGTTCTGACATATATACCTTCAAGACGTCTGCAGTTATGGCAACGATAACTGTGTGCTGTACAGAGTTCTTTTCTTGCAGACATGCCTCTCTCTCCATCTGGCGAATCCGCCGTGTTGTTTCAAAACCGTCCAAGTCCGGCATCTGCTCATCACACATGCGCAGCTCAACCATCAAATCAGTGTCTGGACTGCAAGTTGCCCCAAATGCACAGCTTGTAGAATGACCGTACGTTCGATTCAGTGGAAAAAAAAAGGGTATTAGCTGGGAAAGGACAAGCATTGGGAAAATGGCACCTCACAGGTTCTTCATGTGTGCATTGCAGTGGTGCATGCATACCACCATGCTTATGCAGACAAGCATTGGGAAAATGACCGTACGTTCGATTCAGTCTGGACTGCATACCCCTCGTGCTGCGAGGATTTTACCCTTTGGCACACCGGCATAAGGCCCTGCAGCAGGTGCGTGCCGGCCCTAAGTCAAGGCAGCCCCCCGGAATCACAATGCGCCCTGGAGTCGTTGATTTCTGCAAATCTTGGTGGGCGGCGGGGCGCCACACAGTTTCCATGTGCCCAGTTGGTTACATCCGCCTTGCTCGTGAGAATCGGAAATATTTGTGAGCCTTCCAGGCTATCCCGTCTGTGTGAGCGGGTAAGAGTACCAGCGGGGGTTACGTGCTGACTACAGAGCGAAGTGTACGAGAATTGCGGTGTCCGTGGGTGTTGTGTGTGGTGTGTGTTGAGTTGGACACTACAGCCTTGCAGGGGTGGGGTGGATATCACGACCGGTACGATTCCACTTTTGAACACCGTGTCCTGGCTGTAGTGGTTAAGAGACTTGACTCTTGAGGCCGAAGTCGCCGGTTCGAATCTGTGCTTGCACGGAGGAGGACTTAGGCCCAGACGTACGGAATCCATACTACTATTCCAGCGATGTGGTCGAAGCAGGGAACAGCGCACGTTTGTGAAAGGGTAGTTGTTGGGCATGCCAAACCAATTCGGTCCCAGGCCACTGTCTGAACAGGCCTGGGCGCAGACACTTCGGCCCGACATGAAGCTGGAGGGCACACGCACATCCCGGCCCAGCTGCAAAACTGGGCGAGCACTTTCCATATAGGAAAGAGCTCCCCAGGAAGAAGACATTCGGGTACTCGGTAGAGTAGGCGGCAGCGCTGCTGGAGCGTGCGGTCGCATGCTGTTGCTAGCTGCTAGCACAAGTGCCCGCGTGCGCGTGCGGACGTGCACGGTGAGGGCGCTGACCCTTGGCTTAGACATAGCCAGTGGAGGTGGTGGTGGTCTTCGTGTAAGAGAAGGAAGACGTGGGTAGACAAGACGAGAGAGAGAGAGAGAGAGAGAGAGAGAGAGAGAGAGAGAGAGNGAGAGAGAGAGAGAGAGAGAGAGAGAGAGAGAGAGAGAGAGAGAGAGAGAGAGATGAGGATGGTGATGGTGATGGTGATGTGAGGGCATATACCTGGTCTTGGCGATGGTCCACAGAGTCGACATCTTCATATACTTCGATAGTTGCTGCTGACGTCAACAGGTTGCATTGTCAATTCGTAGGCTGGTAGTAGTTGTGTGATCGTAGTCTGGGCGCTGAGCGCCAAGTAGGAGGAAGGGCTCTGGGTACACATGTTGGTGGTGGCGAGAGTATGCTCCCGTTAACATTCGGATTCCGTGCTTTGGTTCTCCGTTGGTGAATATCAGTGCATTTCTGCTTTCTGGGCAGCGTTGGACTTTCTGGCTTTCAATCTGATTTGCATTCTGGATTTTCTGTCCTCATTTTCCTTGGAGTGCTGTATCATTCCATTTTCTATTTATTTATTTTTGTTCAAAATTTGGACCATTTCTCGACTTACGCGTGTCATCCTTGCGCTGGGGCCATGCTAATCTTCTCTGTATCGTTCCAATTTTAACGGATGGCCCAAAGGATTGTATCATTCCAATTTGATCTAAAAAAAAAAAAATTAAAGAAATTAAAATCAACAGAATGCTATGGCAGGGAAATTCGACCTTTTCGTTTTGCTTTCTTTGGTTTTGTTGTTTTGCAAAATTGTGACGCTGGAAGTTGTGATGAGATTTACCTGGACATCCATAAGCACGATGTCGATGTTGTGTGGTATTTCGAGAAGCCTGATAGCCTCGTGTCCACTAGCAGCACAGGAGGCCTCTGCGCCACACTTCTCCAGCAGCCGACTAGCAACTTTGAGGTTCACTCGATTATCGTCAACGACCAGAAACCTCTTCCCGCGTAGAAGAGACTTCAAAGCGCCTACTTTCTGCACTGGTAAACCAACAAGCGGTTGGGCTGGGTTTGCTGCCCCATCCGCCCCCTCCCCGCCGAGCACGTTCTGTGCCTGGAACAGGGCCTTCAGCAGAGGTGTTCTTCGCATCGGCCTGCCCACACAGCCCGCGAAGCCCAAGTCGCACGCCCGTGCCTCCATCATCTTGTTGTATCCCCCAAGCAGCACTATCATCGGCGGCAACCTTGGAGCTGCTGCTGCCGGCGAGGAGAGAGACGCCCACTCCCTCGAAGTTGTCGCCAACTCCTCTTCAGCCTGCTTTATAAACCAGATCCAATCCAAATCCCTCTCTTCTGAGTCTGCCACCAGAACAACAGAAAACCTTTCGTCGGTCGCCACCGATCCTTCATTGGTACACTGTTGTCCGCTGACTCTGCTCGCCAGGTCACCCCTTGGCTGTTCGGCACCCTCCGGGATTATTATGTCAGCGACTCTGTTGGAGTTGATGTTGCCGTTCACGTCGCGGTTCTTGTTCGCGTTGCGGTGCTTGAACCCTTCCAGCCCACTCCTGTTCCGACTTCGTTTGCCGTTCCTGTTCGCGTCCCCATTCCTCTCCCGATTCTGATCTGTGTTTGCATTGCCACCGGAGTCGATCCGCCACGGCCGTCCTGTTGTCGGATCGCAGGGCCAATTACCGAGACGGTCCCCCGTATGGGGAGGAGGAGGAGGGTGCACAGCACATTGCTGTTCTCCTCCTACCCCGGCAAGTCCGGCAGTCGATCTCAGCCCGTCACGGTCATGGCGCAAACTCAAGCTAGCTGCAATCATTTTCACAGCCTCGGAAGCTGTTGACGCGGGCTCAACACGCATGCCTATTCGTCGCAGGTAACTTGCTGTCACCTCTCTACGCACATTCCTATTATCGACTACAAGGGCTTTAAGTCCACGCAGCCTCTGCATGGCAAAGCTTGCAAAACCATCATCCTCAGGACTACTCAACTCCGCAGTTATTCCCTCCTGAGTTGCTGAATCGGCCTTCAAAACCCGGACACTGAATGTAAACGTGGTCCCCACTCCCGGATGACTGTCAAACGTCAAGAACCCTCCCATGAGCTCTGCATATGAAGAAGGGCATGTGGCAGTGCAAAACACACACCATCACAATCATCCAGTCCAGAGGCCAGCAACCATTCACAACCCTGAAAAAGGTCAGCCCCCGTCACATAAAGGATGCAGCGCATAATAGCTGTACATCTGACCATATCACTTCATCAATACCTTGCTTTTAACTTTTAAGCCACCAGTACCTCCTAAAAGTGCTCCGCGCTCACGACCAGCCAAAAGTGGAAATCGTGCCGTTTCCAATTGGCTGAATCGGGCCTACCCGGCCCTACCGGCCCAGGCCCATTCATCCCAAAAGTCACGCCCGTTAACGCGGAGCACTTTTAGGAGGTACCAGTGGTTTAAGAAAAGTAGTTAACCTTCACGCTACAAAAAAAGGGCTACGAATAACTACCTCTCTCATTGGACTAGTGTTAGGTAGTTTTTTTTTTTAATTTTAAAGGAAGTTATCACAACTAGATGACCCGTTGCGGCTTCGCCCACAAAAACAGAAAAAGAAAAAAGCACAAAAGAAAGAAAACGGATAAGGAACTGCCCTCTCATATGCCGCTTCTTTCACAATAAGAAAAAGAAGAGCCTGAGAGCAGACGAAAACCCGCGTGCAAGAAAATAGCAGGGAATACTACCGAACATTCTTTTTTCTTTATCTTTCCGTGTTTTGTTTGGGGAGCCGTTACCTTTGCAGCATCATTTTTGTTTTGTGCTGTGCAAGAACTCTGGACTTTTCTGAGAAAATCCAGTCCGTCGTCCCATTGATGTTTTGGTAAAGATTCAGAATCAGATTTTGTTCGCTGTGTTCTCTGGATATGTTTGTGATCAAGCGAGCGATCTTGCATGTATGTATGCCCCGTGCTTACATGTTGATTTTTGACAATATGTGTGCAACTGCATGCGCGTGTGGGTGAGTCTCAGTTTGGCGGGCTCCGATGATACCAGTGATGATTGGCCCGGGGAAGTTGGAAGGCGCCTCCAACTATAGGAGTGCCGCGGATGTTAAGCAGGTTTTGCATTGTATGAATGATGAAACAATCAGCATTCAATCTGCTTGGCAGTTGCTCTTCGGGTGGGGGACTTGTCGGGAGTAGCATTGGCATGAGAGCCGTAATGCCGGGCGTGCATCTTGGAACATTTCCAGGAAGGCAAAAGGCAAAGAAGAAACGAAGTAGCACGTGTCAGAGTCACATAATGGACAGCTTGGCACAGTCCCCCCCCTTCTCTCTCTCTCTCTCTCTCTCTCTCTCTCTCTCTCTCTCTCT